TTCTTAGTCGGCAGACGACTAGCGATATGAAGATGCCTATTTGCAACGGCCCCTACCCACACCTCGTCTACAACAGGCGGTCTCCACTACCGGCGCCGCAAGTTATAGTGTCGTACCAGATCCTTAGCCGCCTTAATGCCGTATCACCTGGAAGATTACCGTTAATTTCTGAAAACCCTCCTGCACTTTGCGTTTCTTGCCCTGTTCCGAAGCCTTGGTTTGTTTCCCAGCGTTATAAAGGCAGCACTTTATTTTATTGAAGCTGATACGGTGGTCCAGGTTGCGTTATTTATCCTCGGCGTACTGTGCTATCTTTGTCTTTACCGTCTGATTTGGGGCGAAAATGGCGCAGTGAACTAGTGTTTAACGCCGAACTCCTACAAAAAGGCCCTGAGTGGTGCACTTGTGAACTGCCCCCATTATCCGTTATAAGTACTTTTTGGTGATGCAAATCCGTCGCGTTGCCATGCGTAGATCTCGTAAGAAATCTACAAGACCCTCGGTTCCTCCAGAATTTACATCAGCATCTCCGAGGCAGTTTGTAGTTTGTTCTGTATATATTGCTCGCAGCTTTCGCAGCGATTTACGTATGCACCCACATCCCGGTAGAGCGCTTGGCAATAATAGCGTGCTGCCAGCGCCATTGTTTTGCGGCTTTCCGTATGCATCGCAGTGGCTGCATCGTGCTTCGCCTACATTACTTGTTGTGCTTCCACATTCTCGCGACACGTTGGATAGGGAATGTGCCTATACAAATTTCCACCTTACCTCGTAGTCGAGAAACTTTAAGAGAGTTTTCTGGAGCTTTTCCCACATTTATGGTGTCAATGGACAGGTCTCTGATTTGATGGTTCCCTTGATAGTGTATCTGCTACGACGATGAGGTCCATTACCTCAATATTGTATTGCGTCAGTCACAATTTATCTGTCTTTTCCTGACCACAATAATCCGCCTACTGGGTGCACTGTTCGATGGCTGAACGCAGCCCATCTCTAGCAGGGGATCGACCTGTTTAGGCCTCTAATCGTGCATCGCAATCTTATGCTCCATAATCGATGATGTGCTTATTATAACGCCGACAAGTGATTCCTTGTGTTCTGCGTTGGCTGTGTCCTTGGTGCGGGTAGCAGTCTGGGGTTTTCTACCGTGCCGTGGCTATACGGTACTTTATGCTTGGGAGCTCTGAAGTCGTTCATTTACATAAAGCAAGGCCAGTCGGGTCAGCTCTGCTGGTGTAGCTGTTTTCGCTGTTGGTTTTTGCTGGATGCATTATATGAGCGAGACAGACTACTTTAGTTGTTACCACGCACCTGCTTTGTCCGTTTTGTTGTGTGAAACTATGTGGCTTTATCATAACTGCCCAACATGTTAAAGTTAAACACTCACAACCAAAAGTATAAAAAGTAAGAGTGCTCTACTCTGGAGGGGCCGAGTAGTTTATCCCGAACCTTCTTTTTTCCAACAGCAAACGCAGGTAGTGCTATGCGCTTGTTTCCCCAAGCTTTACATTTTTAATACGTAATTGTTTAATAGATAAAGGGATATACAAGCGTTGTTGAGCCTACAACTACTAATCTCAACCAATCAAACTATTTCTCACGTTCCATACCTCACAGCCATGCCACGAATTTAATTTATATGAATAAATTGAAGTAAACAAGTTGGAGCGTTCTTGTCGCGGATGCCCGACTAGGGGTACCCTAAACCTTTTAAATCTTTGCTTTAGCATAAAAAATAAAATTATTAAAAAAGAATTTCCCCCTTGCGAAGTCAAAGTCGCAAATACCTTTAACCACCACCGCCGTAACGATAATTTTGATTAAACGTAAAAATGCAATACAATACAACCACTTGTACTGGGCGGACATTAGCGGAACCTACGTGACAATTTCAAGTCTGAAAGTTTTATAGGTTCTGAGATAGAATAGAATATAGAATATTTGTGTATTCCCAATTGTATTATCAATTGCATTAATTGTGGCTTAAATTAGAAAATTAGATTTCGTTATCGATTTTTATCAATTACTTGGAAACGGGTTAAGTTATCGAATATAGGACCTACAGCTAAAATTTCAAGTCTCTTGCTCTTATTGGTTCTGAGATCCTTGTGTTAATACATACGGACGGACGGACAGAGAGACGGAAGGACAGACGGACGGACAGACAGACGGACATGGCTAGATCGAATCGGCTGTTGATGCTGATCAAGAATATACACACTTTATGGGGTCGGAGAAGCTTGCTTCTGCCTGTTACATACATTTGCACAAATACATTATATCCCTTTTACCCATTTTTAATGGGTTCAGGGTATAAAAACATGACGATGTAAGAGGTTCAGGTCGGGAATTCCCGACTAGGGGATACCCTGAATAACAACATATAAACACAGCACAGAATACAATACAATTGTAATTGCAATGCTGTTGATAGAATGCAATAAAGACGCACAAGAATGTGTGTGTACATATATACATAAATTCTTGCAATTTACACTAACACTTGTCAATTTAACTTCTGTGTTTCTTAACCGAACTTGATGACATTTTTAACAGTAATTCTTATTGTGCTAAGGAATATTCATATGTTGTCAAAAATCCAAAAGCATTAAAATTGTGGCTTAAATTGATGCGTAGTTCGGCGAAGGGGTGGTAATAGCTATTAAATAAAAGATACTTGATATATCTATACTATACAAATAGCTACATGTTACATTTGATGACTCTAGCTCTTACAACTTACGAGATTTGCTCAAAAAAACGGTTTTTATCTTGTGCTTGGAAACGTGAAAATTATAGATTATCAGATAAAACACGTCTAGGAATACGTACGTTTCAAATTTCTTAGATCCTTGCGTTCATACATGCAGACAGACAGGCGGGCGGACAGACGGATGGAGAGACGGACGGAGAGACGGACGGACAGACAAACGGACATGTGTAGATCGACTCGGCTATTGATGCTGATCAAGAATATATATACTTATGGGGTCGGAGATGCTTTCTTTTGCATGTTACATACATTTGTACAAATTCCCATTCTTTATGGGTTCAGGGAATAACAAAACCTATAACTTCTGACATTACAACAGGACAAACATGACCTGTAATAGATTTGCCGCCTGTCAGGATCTCGCTTTAAAGAAACGCGCTTAGACATTCCAGACGCAATCTTATTTCCAACGCCTAGGGGGGAGCTGTGCGATTAAGAACAAAATATAAGGGACGAAATAAAAGAACATAAATAAAATTATTTAAAATTTTCAGACCAAAATAAGATATGGCCGCTATCGGTCATGTATGAAAAAGTTTTACTATACTTCTTACATATGCGCCAAAGTTTATCAACATCAACCAAAATTAGATCTACAAGGGTATTAAATCTTCGGCATGCCAAAAGAGAAGTTATTACTTGTGTGCTTTCAATATTTCAAGAAACACTTGTGCTCTTTGGGAAAAATTCAAAGATTCTGTTGATGAACGTTTTCTGAACTTAAATAATCAAGCTATGTTATTAAATAAAACATTACTAGGAATTGAAATCTTTTACTTGTTTATAAGCTTATATACCGATATATTATATACTCGGACATATCGAGGACGAATTCAGACACTCCAAAAATTGGCTTTGCGTCGAATGACCGGTGCTGACTGGTACGTCAGAAATTCTACCTTGCACACAGACTTCAAAATAGACGGCCAAGCCGGAGCATTCGCCAACCGGTAAACGAACGCTTGCAGCGACACTGCAACCGGGTAGCAAGAGACCTTGCTGGGAGAAGTGTAGTCAGGAGGCTCAAGAGAAGATCGTTCATGGAGCTCCTTCAACAACGACATAGGAGACATAGGAGCCCCAGAGTCTCCCGACTATCTACGGGACGATGCAGCCTTATTCAAATAAGCTACCTTTGGCGTCTGTCCACGATAAAGACTGAGGACCCAAGTAGGCTTCGCGAAATATCACCTAACCCAACCGTGTTGTAATAAAAATGTATGCTATTTTTAATCCAATACAATATACATTTATAACAAAAATAAAATAAAATTAAAAAAAAGTATCCCCTGATAATATTCTACCAACACAAAATGCAGCTCGCGTTACGCGCTCGTTTTCGTAAGCATTTAAAAACAGTTTCTCCCCGTACCGGACTCGAATTCACAACCTTTAAGCCTTTTTACCAATTTTTAAAGGGTTTGGGATATACCTCTTTGGATAGCAGACAATAAACAACTGCCGACACAAACAGTTACAGATATAAAGAATTTTACACAACATTGTGCTTAAATTTATTAATTAAAGGACTCACGGGACATTAAAGAAACATAGTTAGATCAATCAGACCCAACAATTTAAATGACGATTTGGACAGGGCGGTACATAAATGGAGATATGAATACCTACAAAAATAATAACTACGATTGCTCAAGTCGGGAACCTCGGATTAGAGGATATCCTGAACCTTCTTCTACCAACACCAAACGAAGGTAAAAAAACTAAAAATGAGAAAATATGGGCAGCTTTGGCACCCCGAAGCTCGCAAATGCTGTTTGATAAGCAATATCTTGGAAAATAGAATATTTTGTCATTTCAAAACTGCAATGGCACATATAAATGCATAGTTTGGTCTAGATGTTTAGAAAAATAATTTTCGACCGAATTTAATTTCCGAATTTAATTTCCGACCGATCTTTCCTATGGCATCTACATGATATAGTAGTCCGATCCGGCCGGTTCCGATACTGCCTGCAACAGAAAGTAAACCCACGATAACTTTAAAACTGAGGGACAAATTCAAATAAAACAGACAGACGGGCCACGGACATGGCTATATCAACACGTTTGTTAACGCTGATCTATAGAAAATATATATTTTTTACCGTGTCGGAGTCCTTCAATGCGTTACACATATCGTAACACAATTAAATTACCCCACCTTAACGGTATAAAAAGCAATATCTACATTTGTAGAGATCAGAAAATATTAAACATATTCGTTTACCTAATTTATTGACTTTGGCGTTTATCTCGTTGTTTGATTTAGCTGATGTGGTTGCAGTCAAATGTGGAGTATTCTTAAAAAGAAAATTTTTAGAATATTTAACGATTTCGACAAAACTATAAATAAATTTAAATTGGTTTACCTGGTCGACAAAATTATAATTAGCACATTCCGAAGAAGGAGCACTGGTTGTTTCTATAGATGTCTTCTGGTAGCAAACCGGTACTCTATTATTTGTATTATTTGCGCTTAGTTGTTTCTCAGTATCTATTTGAGGGCTACATTTTATCAGAGATTCTTTTGTATTAATTTTGTCTTGTGCTATTAAAATATTGCCCTCGGTTTGATCATTTACATTAAAATTATACTCTGTGATATCATCGTTTACTGTTTCAGTTTGAAGTACTGAAGTCTTATCCCCCGCAATTGTTTTTGTATGCTTCTGTCGATCCTTTTGCTCATACACTCCATTTGTATTTTGATCTCCATGGTTTTCTAATAGGGGTTCATTTAAGTTATCATGAACACTTATGCCTGAAAAAAAATAAAATGGTAAATTGGACTCTAAGAACATTAAAAGTGGCCAAGTAAAGAATACCCAACTAAAAGCCTAGTTCCACTGTCAACATTTCTTAAATTTTTTGCGAATGTAACATTTTTTTCCAATGTTAAATATGTGGCCTGTACGTTTTCCTATAAGAATCACATTTTTCACAGTTGTAAAAAATGTTACATTTGCAAAAAATGTTGGCATTCGCCCTGAATAATTCGTCTTTTTTGCGATGATTTATCGAATTTCGTATCAATGTTATGAAAAATTTTAAAGTATCAATTCCACAAACAGCTGATATAGCAACGAAGGTAAGCGGTAACATTAAATAATATTTTTAAAATTCATTAATTTTTAACATAAAAAGATGACCAAATCCCGAAACGAGTCCATAAATGGGAGGAAAACTTTGCGGCGCTTAAGTAAAACAAATCAAACCGATCAGCCGTTTATTTAAAGAAGATGTTCTTTCGCCAGTCACATGTTACCGATAACGGACACTTGCCAATGGAACCGCAAAATATAAAGTTTGTAAATTTAGTTACAAATTTGTACAACATTTATTTCTTAGTATGGTTGTGGAGTCTTAGGCGGTGGCAAGGTTTAAATTTGATAATAGCAATAAATCAAATGAATATAGCAATTGGAACTACCTACCAATTTCAGCTGCGAATATACGAATATTTTCTAGCAAAAAAAGATCTACTTCTAAAAATGTTATCAAGATATAAGAAATACAAAAGTTAATAAAGAAAACGTGTGCTTATATTGATATTCACAAGCCACGTGTTTGTGGTAACTAGCGCAAATTGAAAGAATCTATCTACACACATTCATGCTTGTCTTTATTGAACTCTACAAACAGCATTACAATTAAGATTGTCTTGTATTCTATGCTGTGTTTATGTTTTCCCATTTTAATTCGTCAACTATAAATTGTTGGTGTGGCTGTTGAGTATAGTCGGCGGCAAGTAGTTCGGTTGGTTATGAGTTCGAGTCTTTTGCTTGGAAATCGTGCAAGTTATCGATTATCGGGAACAAACTTGTTTTGTACGCGCACTAGGATGACCTTCTAAATTGTAGGACTCTAGCTCTTATAGATTCAGAGATCCTTGCGTCCATACAGACGGACATAGCTGGATCGACTCGGCTATTGATGCTGAGCAATCTTAAAGGTAAAAGCTATAACGCTCAAACAGTATTGATAATCATTCTTACCAACGAACTATCAACGTACAGCCCACGTCATTTGAGCTGAGAATGGAGGAGCACGCTTAGACGGGGGTTTGGGAAATTTTACTAGCAAGTGTGGAAAAATCAAGAAAATCGGATGTAGATATCTTTTACGCTTACCATCCGATAGACATTTGAGCTGTGTTGAGTTTCCAATAATTTGGCCTTTCACAACAACAAGTCATAATGAGTTTAATCGACGAAATATATTAACTTTTACAAGTTATTCGGCTGTGGCTGTAAACAATTTCCTTTTTCCGTAAGCTAAAATAAGAATATCAGTCTTACCAGGGCCAGCTAATTACAAGACATTTGTAAATTTGCTAGGACGGAGGGCAGGGAAATGTTTCAAACGGGTTATGCTAAACTAGTTTATAGGGTATGTCGTCGTGTCCATTCACGATTCGTTCGAGATTACCTTCGAGGCTCAGTGGCTGTCCACGGTGTCGCTGCTCTATAGTTAGTAGGACACACATTTACTCCACGTATGGTCACTACTGGCCAAATCGTGGCACGCATCTAGCACAGCCGAGTCTGCCTTCAGCGCTCTAAGGATATCGCAGGAGTTATCTGCCTTAGGCTAAATACTGGGGTTGGTCTCACGGCGACGGGACTGGGCCTCGTACAACTAGACACCATACTTTAGGTTTGAGAGAGGGTAATGTTGAACGCCGGGCTGTCCGATGTGCGAATTTTGTATCAATGAGTAATAAAAAAGTCAGCCAACTCCATTATCATTATTAACTTTATTCACATTTGGGATTCACTATGATTAATACACACTACTCTACACTCTTCGCCTTGGAGCTAATGTTGCGCTCTCGAAGACAGTGTAGAGCAACCGATCAGCGACGCACGGTTGTAGCGGCGGCCGGCGTTACATTCAAACTTAAGTTATGACTTCAACATAGCTCCTTGCTTTTAATAAACTTCAATAATTCGGTTCCTTGCCTATCCTTTTCTTATTACAAATACAATATATTTAACAATGCTTATAAAATAAAACCATGCTAATGTTCTGTGGGGCGGCTACCCCAGTACTCGCCTCACATCCCCACCTTACTTCGTCGACGATACCGTCACTTCCCCGGCGGCGTTTATGGCGAGTAAGTTAAATTAAGTTAAGAGTATTCGCTAACTATTCCATTACATGTGATATTACCTGTCCTAGCAGTGCAGCTGACAATGTATAAAGTCGGGTTTTTCTTAATCTTAACTTATTCTCCAGCTATTCAATTAAATCTTCTCCACGTGCTCTTCTTTGATATCTATCGGGTCCTGCTCCTCTCCGACGCCGGTCATTTCATGGAAGAAAGGCTTGAGCTGCGAAATATTCGCCGCCCTCTTCTTTCATTCGCCTGGCTTCGCGAAACACACAATGTCAGTGGCGTTGGACAGTTTTTGCTGCCGTAACAGGACCATCGAATTCAACAAAGGTCGCCACTCTCGTCTCCGCATGTTGTAGTCCCTGCATTGGTCCTTTGAAGCTGTAGATTGCTGTGGACGATATTAAAGATTTCCTTCAACCTATCCGCCTTTGTCCTGGGATCGACCGCACTAGTTAGGGACCCCGGAGTAAAGTGTTCATACAGAGCAGTGGTGCTCTATACGGTGCTGTTAGTCCTCTCTGTGCGATTCTCTTGGGTACAGTATGGGGCGGTGTACTGCCTTCTACACCCAGGAACTCCGGAAAAGACTTGGAGTTTACGAGTTGTAAACTGGTTCCTACACGAACTTTTTGGGCACCCCAACCGTGCTCAGTATCCTTTCTCGAAACGCCGCATGCAAGTGCGCCACCTTAGCCCTCCTTAGTGGGTTCAATTCCACCCACTTCGAGAAAGCATCATGGAGCACTAGCAACATCGTGTTGCCATGTTTCGACCGCGGAAAGGGTCCGACGAAGTCAGCGCAGAGTGGTGCCATCGGCTCTGCTACCTGTCTCGTTAACATGCGAATGGCCGGCTCAGTTGTTCGCTTTTGAACTTCTGGCAGACTTCGCAGCACTTCACACACTTGGCGGCGTCGCGGAACATACCCGTCCAGTAGTACCTCTGGGCTAATGTCAATACAGTTGCCCATTTTCTTTCATATAGTCGGAAAAATTGGGCGGCTATTTGGCGATCTTGGCACGCATACTCGCTCGGCCACCACCGCCTACTGACAGGTCTCTAGAGGATGCCTTGATAGTGCAGTAGCCACGACGTTGAGCTTCCCTCACCGGTAGAGGATATCACACTAGAATTTTTGCAGTTTTCAATGCCCACCACGCTATCGTCCCCGAAGGGCTCTCGATCGAATTGAGCCATTTAAGTGCCAGGTGATTCGTTATCAAGTCGAAACGGTACCGCTTTAGGTAGCAAAGGAGCTTTCTGATCGACCAAACGATCGCAAAGCACTCCTTCTCGGTGGCGGAGTAGTTTACCTCAGCTTTCAACAAATTTCGACTCGCGCATGCTATCACCCGCTCCTGTCCCGCTATCGTCTGCATCAGCACTGAACTGAGGCCTTCAATTGACGCAATGCCTCCTCCTGTTCCTCACCCTATGACCATATCCGGCCCTTTCTTCAGGAGCGCCTCCAGCGCCTGTATCTGAGTCGCGAAGTTGGGCACGAAACGTCTGTACCAGTAACCCATCCCGAGCTCTTGCAGCAACTCCTTACAATAAGTCGGGGCCCTTAGGTAACGTATCGCGTCCACCCTCTCCGGATCCCTCCGTATCCCCTACTCGCTAGCCACATATGCAAGATAGACCAACCTCTCCTTGAAGAAACTGCATTTCCCTTAACCAGCGGAATACACGCTAAATGTAGTCAAAATGGCATCACCCGCCATTGGAACAAATCTCTTCCTGGCACCGTGAATGCCGTGAATTCCCTACTATCGCCTGCCATTGTATCTGCCGCAACCCGTGCTTTACTTCTAGGGTAGAAATGAATCGGGCGTGACGCAACCGCTCATGGATGTGAACTATCCGAGGGACAGGGTAAGAATCCGGAATGGAGTGCGCATTGAGTTGTCAGTAGTCGATGAACATGCGTCGAGTGGCCTAGATTCCACCACTCTGGCAGCCGCTCCCGATTTACTGCGTCTGGGTGGATTCTAGCCATCGGGCCTGCTTCCTCCGCTTTCTGGCACATTTCCGCCATGCCACCTCCTTGATCAGCGTAGAGCTCTTGCTGCAGCACTACCCGTAGCCTTTTGGGATCCTCGTGGGCTCGGTCCGATTCCGAGTAAGGCCCTGCCGACAGGTCCATACTTTTCCAGTTCGGCTTTGCCGCAACGCAAGAAATCCATCCCTAGAATGACGTGGTCCGGCATGGAGGCCATGATAAGTATCGACATGCTAATCACTTTCCCAGCTAAGCCGACGTCTAAGCACAAGACCTTCTCTACCATCCCTGCGCTCTCCCTTGAATCGCCCACTTGCGCACGCGATCTTCCCTGCGAGTGACTCTGGTGTCGATTGTTGCAGGCATTGTCCGCCCGCCAATCCTCACGGCGTCGACCCGATTCTGGCCTGGGCGATGCCGTTGCCCGTTTCTCGCTTCCGAGTGACGTCAAGAATCCTGGCTACTCCTGCGTTGGGACACTCCCTGGCGAAGTGCCCCTCCTGTGCACACCTGTGACATGCCCGTCACGGATCGAACCCTGTCAGAACGACCTCCGCATGGGCCATGGCTGGCGAGACGGGGATCCTTCCGCCCGTAACTGCCACTCGAATTTGAACGTCTCGTACTCCATAGCCATTTGCGTTAGCTGGTACACAGTAGAGAAATCCTGCCCTCAGCTCTATCAGGTACTCGTTGAATTATTCGCCCTCGCGCTGCCGGCGGCACCGGAGCCTCTTGAAACAGCGCGGTGGCAAGAATAACTCGAAGAAGCCCCTCTTATACATTGACCATGACACATCCCTCAGCCCACTACTTAGGAACCAACGAGTGGCCCTGTCGCAGAACACCTCGCAGATTGCCCTAGGCATGCGATCGAGGGAGATACCATACGTGATGGCCCGCTTCTCGAGGTCCTCCAGGAACCAAAGGGGGTAGGATCGGCCATCATATCTCATGCCTCATTACCGGGCTTGTTTCGGTATGTTTGAAAGTAGCTTAGCATTCGACTGAGGATACGGCCTGGGAGCATAAGCGGGGATCCCACTTATCTCGGTGTCTATCGCTGTTGTTCGTTGGGCACCCGTGACAGTTAACCTAGAGGTCGGAATTTGTGAATTGGGCGCTCCTCAGGTCTGGTTCGGATTACTTACGCAGCCGTGGGCGAACGTCGGGTGGGCTGCTCAAGGACGGTGGCTCTAACGTTTTGGTATACTGTGCCTCCAACTCGGCAAGCCGATCCCAAGATTCAGGGAAATGGCTGCCGTCCTGCACGTGGATCGATATCCGCTTACGGAGCTCTTCCACGAGGCCCCATTTTCGGTTTCCTTACTTGTTTGATTTCTGCTTCTCTGAATTCGGCGTTGTATTCTCTTCTCCTTCTCTGATTCTGTTGATTTATTTGGTCACTCTTTTTTCGGTTTTGCCTTCATCTTCTTTCCCCGGATATTTTTTTTCATAAAATTTTTTTTAAACAAAATATTGGTTTGGTTGCGAATTTGGGTGGGTTGGTTCTTAAAACAACAACAACAAAATGGAGAAAAAAATCGGACCCCCGTCACAGTTTCATAGGTTGATCACTCTTGTCACCTGTTGTCACTTCGCCGTTTCCTCTTTTGATATTGATATTATTATTATAATTAACTATTTTTATTATTTTCTCTTTATTATCACTTGTTTATTCTCGTTTTTATTTATAATTTGTTAACTTATATGTTTATTCAGTATTCCTTATTCCTTTTCACTAAACCCACAAAAACCTTCTGACAATAAGAACACATAAAACTGTTTATTTAACTGGAGAACTGTGAGCGCATACAACGCACACAGACAAGCAACGAATTGTGCAGCTGCGGATGTACAAGCGTAACCATATAAGCTGAGCCGGTGAATGAGCGCACAAAAGGGAGAGCGTGAAAGTCAACTAGCGCCGTCTATGATATGCGAATTTTGGTACTTGTAAATTTTTTTAGCACACATAGGCCTAATTATTTTAAAACAAAATAATTGTTGTTGCATTTGACTAATAGCAATTCCAGATTTATGTATGTTAAATCTCGCCGGGGCCTTCTAATGTTGCGTGCCAATGTTTTTTGAAACTGTTTTAAGAACTATTTCTAAGAATTAAGAATATACGAACTTTCACAACAACACACTTTAATGAGTTTATTGGACGTAATTTATTTTGATTTTAAACAAGTTATTTGGCTGTGGCTTATAACAATTTCTTTGCTTGGCCTTAAGCGAATGCTAATGCGATGCAACTTCTGCAGAATAGAACAAGGAGCGTTTCCCACTTTTTGAAAATAAGTCTCACCTCGGTGAAAAAGGAGTTCAAATATTTGGTGGGGTTGTTTCGTATTCAAACTAAATCGTAATAAAAATAACTTTAAAAAAGTTTTTTTGAATAAGACTTGAATCCGTAACATACCACACTACTTCCCATCGCCTCTACTCAACAGCCACAACAACCGTTAATTTCAGGGGAGAAAAAAATGCACATAATACAATACAATCGCAATGGCAATGCTGTTGATAGAACTCAATTAAGACGTGCATGAATGTAAATTTCTTATTCTTCAATTCTTATTTGCGCTAACTGCCGCCAGTATGTGGCCAGCCAAAAAACGTTTTCTTTTGCGTTTTTTAACCCATCTTGATTTTAAACAGTAGCTTTTATCGTGCTATAGAATATTTGTATACGCTCAAAAAGTTGCATTAAAATTGTGGCTTAAATTTGCAAAACAAATTGGTTTATTTACTTGATTTTGTAGCGGGGAGGTGGCGATAGTAATAAAATGAAAGATACTTGATATATTCGAAAAGTTACTTGTCAAATTTCATGTCTCCAGCTCTTATGACTTACGAGATTTGGGAAAGGTATCGAATTTCAGGAAACCAACTCGTACTGGGTGCACTAAGCGGACCAACGTTTCAAATTTAAAGTCTCTAGCTCTTATAGGTTCTAAGACAGACGGACGGACGGACATACAGACGGACAAACGGCCGGATAGATGGACTGACAGACGGACATGGCTAGATCTAATCGGCTGGTCAAAAATATATTTACTTTTGGCGTCGGAGATGCTTCTTAATGCCTGATACATACATTTGCACAAATACATTAAACACTTTTTACCCACTTTAACTGGGCTCATATTTTAATAACATTAAAAATTCAATTAATGTATTGGTAAAAGTTTAAAAAAAAGATATTTGATCTTTATGTACATTAATAGATGGTACATGTCAATACTTAACTCTAGCTCTTAAAACCTACGAGATTTGCTCTAAAACGGGATTCCGATATCCTATTATTATTGATTGCAAACAAATCGTTCTACTCGAGCATTAGTATTTAAAATTTCAAATACCTAGGTTTAGTTGGTTCTGATGGAAGAACGGACAGACGGATAAAGTGACGCACGGAGAGACGGACAGGCGGACGGACAGACAGACGGACATGGCTAGAACGCCCGGCTATTGATGCTGATCAAGAATATATATAGACTTTATGGGGTCGAGGATGCTTCCTTTTGGCTGTTACATAAATTTGCACAAATACATTATATTATATTTACCCATTTTGAATGGGCTCAGGGTATAAAAATCTTTAGAGATGAATCTAGAATCCATGCTTCCTCGGTGGGAAAAAGATTTTTGGACGAAATTTAAAGTATTACTCCAAAAGAGTTTGGGAATGTTCTTTGCCATTCTTTGTTTTACCACAATAATATATGTACGAAGTTTGAGCTGCCGTTAGCTGGATCATATATTTCAGAGGACGGGGATACAAATCTGCTTAGCCCCCAACAATAGATGGCATATTACAGAGTCGCCGCAGTACTTACTCTCTAGTGACTTCATCACAAATTAGCAAAACGAGCACAAGACCGCTTTCATAGGTCCGTGGTCCTCGTTGGCTATAAATTCAGGTTTAAATCGATCCACCGAAATTGCAACTTTCTTACCGTTGATCTGCAGCTCATAGACTCTGTTGCTCTGGCATTGGACGACTTTATGCGAGCCCGTATATGGAGGCTTCTGCGTATGCTTAACTTCGTCTGTACGAACAAAGGCATGCTTCCATTTATTGATTGATATGATGAGCATTCTAAGTTGGACGTAATTTTCGCATATGATCACGAAAAGGGCTTAAATAAATTGGAGGGCAGGTGATCGCATCTACTTTATCAAA